TAATTACCTAAGCAATTACACAAAAGGAAAGGAGCGTACCGCGACTAAACAAAATTGGTAGGTAGGCAGGTAGGTAGGTGTTTGTTAAAATCACATTGCACCCCATAGGTTGAATTACGCAATTGTTTAAATACTAAGATTCATAAAAGGTTTATAAAAGATTTACAAAGGATAGCTTGACGGTGTTTGAATCAGTGCACACGTTTCGATGTTGTTGTCTTTCGATTTTGTTATTTTTGTCGTGGTGTGGTTTAATAGTGTCTTTAAGGAATTAAAAGTTAAGTTCTCACAATCGAAATAAATCTTACCAGCTATAATTATACAACAGGCCTTTAATTCGCTGAAAAACCTCTGGAAAATATTAAAACTGCTTCCTAAACATGGAAACTTTAAACTTTCATTAGCTAGTGAACCGATAGCGCCAAACAACTTAACTGCGTTGCCACGATTTTGGTCTTATTCCAACGTTCACCAAGATCAATGAAGCAGAGGCAAATAAGTGGAGGTAGTCCTCGAAGCAATTTTCTGAAAATGTCATCCAGGAGGTACTACGCATGAAATCGTGGCAAGATGTGGCCCTGAAGAAGCAAATCAATGAAATCTACCATAAAATTCGTCGGGAGTGTTTATTTTTCCGTTACTTATACATTCTGAAAACAATGGTCCTCCACAAGAGGCAGTATCAGAAGAAGCGCGGTCACATTCGAAAAATCGCGCGGATATTACGCACAGATATTGAAGTCGATGAACGTATTCTCAACAAATCATCTTATCAACCAGCTTCCTTCCAGAACCTCGTACTGTGCCGAGGTCTTAACATTGACCAACAGAAGAAACGAGATGGCATGGTAATCTCGGAACCGGACAAAGGTTCAGAAATCGTCGTCATGAACAAATTTGACTTCGTTAGGTGGGTTAGTGAAACGTCTATCAACGATGAAACAAAATTCCACAGGGACATATAACCAGCTACACCCTTGCTAAATGGTTTGACGAGAAAATAAAACCCCTGCCTGTTAACAAACATACCTACTCTGAAGTATTTCAGTTTTCTGAAGAGAACCGCGAGGTGGATTTCAACGAGGCCGATATTTTGATATTGTGCGAGTTGTTAGCGTTGTTCACGAATATGCCCCTAGAAGAAAAGATCCAGATTCTCGCGAACAAGGCCTTCACCTGGAATCAGATCAATGAAACACAAAACCTTCACATCACCCAGAAAGACCATGTTGAGCTTCTAGAAGTGGCTACAAAACATCAACTGTTTCATTCTATTTACAAACACGACGCCATTGCCACCTGCTGATACAAACAGTGTAGAGGACGCGTATCATATAAGAGCTACGTAATAGACCTCGCTCTCCATAGAGTCTCTGTAATCAGCTTCACCATAGAAACTACCTTTCATCGGAATGGAGCTCAAAAAGACTGGAAAACGGCTAAAAACATGTGTCCGCAGCAAATGAAGGCCTTCTCTATCAAAGTCATTTTGATTCCCTTTAGCAACAAACCCTTCTAATGACTGTTTTAAACCGTGCCCACTGTCTCTCATTATCACCACGTTGGTGAAGAATATGACAGCTTGCGAGGGATCTTTTTGAAACTGAAGTACCCATAGAAGCTCATTAATTCCACCATAGCAAGATTTATCGAGTCGTGAAACCAACAACAACTTCGCAATGTCCAAGCAAATGCACTCGTCTGGATTATTCTGCCATTCAAGAAACAAAGATCAGCCGAGGTTGTATAAGGATAGCCGTTCAATCTTGGAAAGAAAATAAACAGCGATCTGCGCCCAGTTTTCACAAGCAAGAAAATTGCCGACGACATCAAAGTAGCAGAAGCCAAACTACCATTAATAGATGTACAATGCGTTGTGTACAAATTTAAATGTGATCTGTGTGATGTGGATTATGTTGGCTCTACTCCCCGACTCCCTTTCCAACGCATTGGTGAACACAAACACTCAACTATTGGCGCCCACAATCAGAGGAACAAATATCTACGCGAACAATTTACCATCCTTAAGGAAAGTCGTGGGCAATTTGAATACTCTTTATCTAAGAAAAGAACCCTAGACTGAACACTCAGCTTGACTCAATCAAGAGAAACTATTTAGTACTAAATTAACACTCTCTACATTCAACATTGTATAGTTATTGACGACATGCAATGAGAGTTTGTCACCCATTCTTAGTATTTAAAGATCTTGTAGGAATCTGACTTTTAGAATCTGAAAATGATGACCAAGTCATTGAAACGTTATTTGAAATTATTATCGCATATTTTTAATCCTATTCGTCTTTTGTTTGAGCTCTCATGTTCCTATCACCAGCCAACTTTGTAAAACTCCTGTTTTGTGATCTTTATTGTATTGACTACTTGCAGATTTATACATGTTCCAGTCGCCAGTATTATTCGATTGCCTTGCTTCCTTAAGAAGTGAGTCCCTGCATCTTAGCTGTTGACATCTAAGGTGCCTCAATCTCCTGCGCTACACGTTTTTGACACAAAGGACATAGATATCCTACAAAACAAAAATGTTGTCCCTGTGGACCTCAGGAACAATAGATCAAAATTTGTTTTCATCTAAATTTTCATATAACGATAATTGATGGTGGGAGCTTTGTTGCGAGGTCTGAGTGACTCACTGCGTTCGTAAAGACGAATACCAAAAACTGGGGCACGATCACTGAGTCCAATATCCTTTATTAAGATGTTTTGGACTCTGTCGGGATCATTTGAAAATACAAAATCCAAACAGTATCACTAATTGGGCGTGTTGTTTGGTGGACGAGTAGCTTAGAGTATCACTAATTTGACGACTAAATGTTCACTTGAATTTAGTTGGTATTAAAATCTCCAAACACTTTAGCCTCCATATATTGTGTGTAAATTGCTTCAAAATGCAAAATATTCCAGTGACCAATTCAGAGACCCTTTTAACCAAGAACGAGGTCGACGAAACGTTCAGGATCACAGTATTGATCTTCAATAGATAGCGAGTATTCATCGCCGAACAAATCATCATCAGAAGAAGATAGAGAGCAGACCTATACTTTAGTCAAGGACACTTGTAGCAGGACCAGTATTTTGCAATGATTTCTCTGTTGCTACATAAGATGAAAAGCCTGAATAAGACCTTTACCCTAGTCTCAGCAGGATTTGAAACATGTCAGGATCGACAAAGGAGACTGCTTTTCGAAGAAAAAAATGGTCATGTGACAGTCACGTGACATGCTGTCGTACCATGTGAGCACTCAAATTGTAGGCAGGTACATGCTCATCATTTTTCAAGAAGGGTTTGGGGCACTTCGGTAGAAGAAGATGAAATTTGAGGTCAATTTCTGTTTGAGCCTCGTTTCCATGCTGAGTGCTATATCATGGTGTAAAACCCCATTTATCTCGTTAGCGGTACCACAATTCGGGACTACATGGTATTTTATATTAAAGAGCAGGTATTGGTCTATCAGAATCAGCTGTCAAACCTTTTCTGTCGGGTGGGTTGAACGAAACCAGTTTTTGTTGGGTCTGGCTCCTTGACAATTATAATTCAAGTTCGTGGAGACAGGGTTTTGAGTGAAAATAGACTGGAAAGAAATAGACAGAGCGATCAAAAAAAGCAAGAAGTAAAAGGCGTAAAGCGAGTCGAGAAAAAAGTAAGAGAAATTTAGAAAGGACGCCAAAGTAGGCAGAATACGGCGAGAAGAACGCAAAAGAGATCAAGAAGAGGCATAAGTAAAAAGGCGAACATCTAGCGAAGAGCAACGTGAGAAGGAAATACAAAGAGCGTCAGAAAACAGACTGAAACGAGGTGTTAACGCTTGTGTTAGGCCGCATGCTGTTATAACCATTTCCTAACGTTTCTTATGACTATGCTTTTGAAATTCTAAAATATCCTGCATTTGAAATAGTAATACATTTAACTTAAGCAGTTAGCTCATCCTCGAGAAGGGACTACACCTTTTGTTACTTATCACAATCAAAATCAAGACCTATTTCAAATGAGAAAATTCAAAAATAGAGAGGGAGAGGAACTTTAAAGGAAAAGGAAAAAACGAAACTAGAAGGAAACCAGGTAGATGATCCCCAAAAAATAGCCGAAACGTCCAATTAACAATTTTGATTTTGCAGGCTCCGCTTTTGTAAATCGATGTGCAAATACAAATCAGTACAATCCATCAAAAAACCCGAATTCAATTATCGGTTTTCGGTTTTTATCTTTTCAGTTCACTTCCGATACCGCCCCTTGGAAATTCCCTCTTTGCCAAAGTGGTGCACTCTAACCAGAAAGGAAAAGAGGAAATATTTTCAAACTGAAAACGTCTGTGCTTAAGAACGTTTCTCAAACAAGAGAAGTGGATTTGAAATTGAAGCTAAAATCCGCAGTAGCGCAGATTGAACCTTGAAGCCGCACAATTTTGGGGGAACCTAAACTACTTTATGAGAACAGAACCAAATTATGAAATTACGTATTGATAAATACAAGTCTAAATGATAATAAAATGATGAGAGGAAGAGATGACTTTCACCTGAATATTACTGATTATGTCGATTGCTAAAATATGCTTATATCCTATTCATATCCATACCAGAATTACCTCTTCAAAATGAAATCTTCTTCATCCTGATTAGTTTTTCTTCGTCTTGATAAATAACTGGGATTTCTTACTTGAAATCCGAGAATAATTTCCTTTTAATTCTTTAATTACAGCCGTTCCAATTATTATTTCTGAGTAAACACCAATATCGGGAAAGAGGTTCCACCTTTGTAAAACAATCTTCAATATAGAGTCACCTTTAATAATTGTAAAATTAATTTCCGATTGCAAAAATCAAGTGAGGTATGAAATTAAATGTGCCAACTTAAGCTCAGAGTAAACATTTCGACAAAAACAATTAACAATGTAGAAGGAAAGATGAAAAAAGAAAATTATACCGAAAAGGAATGGGTATAAAATCTCGCAAGAAAGATTTGTTGAGCTGCATCATAATTTTGACACTTTGAAGATACACTTGCGTTAAAGGTAGGTAACTTAAAACTTGTGTAGATTTAAAATAGCGCTCAAAAGCTATCCAGAATGATTGCCTACTGTCCAAGCTGCATTTAGAGACACTTTCGTTAGTGCACTGCTCTACGTATGGTCATCTTGACAAACTCCCACATTCTTCATCTCTCAAGTCTGCATTTAGGACACATTTCCATAACTATCATTTTCCATTCCTAGGCCAGGCAGGGCTCTCCCTACATGTAGTTGGGAACTCAAATAGTTTTTCTTATTCTCACTGACTATTCTGCTGGACTTGATTTCTCGCAGTTTACAATGAAAAACATCAAAGAACGAGTCGCTTGCCTAATTTTCTTCGTGTTGTGTACCTTAACGACCAGAAAAATAGTATTGGGACATTTTAGCCTTGGACGAGATATTAAAAAGCCTATCGACCAGGGGCCATCAGTATACCCAGTAAGAGCCTTTCAAAGCGAATCAGCACTCCGAAAAATACACCGCACAACAGGTATAGTAAATAGATATTGGCTTGGTTTTCATTTACTGCTTGACAGGTCTTGGGAATACTGAAGAGGACGAAGTTTGAGTCAAATAATATTTTCTTAACTCTGCCTATACCTGAATTCCTCAATTCAACTTAATTTTTTAGTTTATGCGACTAAAATTTGTATCCAGTCTCAATGTTAGTGACCCAATTAAATCCTACAACAATTCAAATATTGGGTTCCATCACCGTTTACCCAATCTATACCCTGTTCTTGACGTGGAGACGTTGCTCTTTCAATAAAAATTCGCATTCAATGAAATGCAGGGTAGCAAAGTTTAATAATGACGTCAAACTTTTCACGCTAAATTTAAGATAATTTCAACCCCACAAACCTAAAGCATTTCTAAATTAACACAAAAACTATAGGATACTCGAGTGATTTCGCAGTGTTTACATAGTCTAGCTACACTCGTTTACTTGTAATGGAAAGGACACTTTAAATATTTGTCCCTTTGGGAAGTTTAAGGGTTAGGGGCTGTTGAAGTTCAGTTTTACAACATCAACATGGGCCCTAATCTAACTGTCAGTTACATATTTAACAAAAAAAAACTCTTTTCGTAAGAGTACCGATTCAGCAGAACTCTTAATCATTAATTGTTATTGTCCTCATTTTAGGTGAACAGGTAGTTACAGAGCAAAAGCAAGTACGATGCAGAAAGGATCAGTAGTTCAGATGATTTGCTGAACCAGAGATGTTATTGGCTAAAGTTTACAATAATTGTCTGCATAAATATTATTCCGTATCTTATTCTTTCTAGCATTGATTATATAGGTTAGAGGGTAGTTATTTGAGACGAAATTTACTTAAAGTATACTAAAAAAGTCTGTAAAAAACCACTAGACTATTGAGATTAAAGTTGCAAGTTACCGTATTAACAGACTTGATTAACCTCTGGTGTCACATGACGAAAGTAAAGAGTACATTTAAAAAGTCGTTTCCGCATGACTGTTAAGGGCAAGGGTTACTTTATCATAGTGTACCATTTTAAGATTTGTTTTGTGTGGAGCATAGCCTGGACAGGAGAAACTGTAAATATGGATGAATTTTTCTCTTTTTTTCTGAGGTTGTTTTACACTAAATTACAAACACAGGATGCACTGCGTTTTGTAGCGAAAGAACCGCGCGCAGAACTGATTATCATTCTACCTTTTCAACGCAAAGCAAATCACCACGCTAATTTTTGGAAGAGCTAAATTCGAAAATCATCCCCACTTCGAGCATTTCCAAACTGATTTCCGTTGGTTTTTTTTAGAGACTGACGTGTTTTATAGTGTAACTAGTAAGCATTACGTGTCCTTATTGAACTATAAAAAATCGGCATTAACAACCCTAAGAAGCAACTTTTTTTTTTCTAATGTTAGCATTAGAACATTCTAATTGTTTTTATAAGATTACATGATTTAAAGACCAATCTTTTTGGGGATGTCTGTGTACAAAGTTTTGTTGCCCTTGTTGTTGCTGTAGCTGCTTTTGGCATATTAGTTTAAGTAGATATTTAGCATGACTCGATTCCGTCGAACGAAATATCATAAACACGTCTCCTTGAAACTCTAATTGATCCGCAAAATAAGACTAACGCCTCCGGCCATTGAATTTGAAAGTTTTATGTTCGATTACTTGAGAATTTTATTTCGGTTTTAGCTTTCTTTTTTCTTTTTTTGTCTCACACATAGGGTTTTAAAATATCTGGTAGAGGTCCCACTGTTACCAAGATTTTGTATCATTTAAATCAAATTTTTCTCACATTACGTGTAGTACCGTTTTGGGGCATTTCTGAACAGTTAACAAGCAATAGACCTTTTTAGCTTTTGGTCAGTTTTTCTGACCAATTAAAGTAACAATTTCACGAGAGAATCCTGATGATGACCTCGAACCTCTCCTCATAGCTACCCTTTCTACCCATTAATTAAAACTCTCAGCAAGGCACATATGGTATACATGAATTGAAAATTCCTCAAGGTAACACTGAAAAAGTATTGATCTTGGAAACTCAGCATCAGCTAATTCTACTAATCGAAAATCTTTCATGCCCGTGAAATGGACAGAGGAAAAGGAAAATGCATGATTTCATTCAAAAACAAACTTCAACATTAGGGAAAGGATATAGTAGTAAGGAACCTGTCAACTGTTCTATGTAATGTTAATAATCAAAGAGGAAAGTGTCACCATCTGTCATCAAGAAAATGGCCGAGAAAAGATGAACAACTTCATATTTACTTAGAATTTCACCTCTATCTGACTTCTTTTAAAGATTTAGATTCTACCTGACTCAAAAAGAGAAATTCCCAGACTTTTCCCACGCCTTGAAGAAATCAATTTTTTTTTCTTAATTTTCCTGATCTCTGACAGTCATGCCTAACATTATCGTGCCGGAAACGAAACACTATTCCTTTTTGAAATAGCCACTGGTTGACTATAGAGACAATGAAGGACAGGCACCATCTTTCCATCTCCTATTTCGGCTGTCTACAAAATAAAATCTTCGTCTTCGAAATCTTCCGAACACATTTTGGTACTGGAAGTTACTTTAATTATTAATTTTCATCTTTTTTATCCTAAAGTTCCACATATGTTTTAAAAGAAACCCAAAAACACCTTTTAAAATCGAGACAAGACGACATTATTTTTCTGACCATTTGCTCATGCAGATCTAAACACAAATTCGTCCGGCTAGTAGTTGAAGAAATATAGCATGGATACTTAAATTCTGAAGCTTAGGATCCTTAGCATATATAAGAAAATACAAATCCGAATTTGCGGAAATTTGTGGCAGTTACAGCGCAGCGGTAGTAGACCATTCTTACGCTTTGCAGTTAGATTGTTATGGCCGCGACTGTTGTTAACCCATTTCGGACCGGGTAACCGATCTACGACGTATGAAGCTAAAAAGGTCTATTATATGATGAGGTTGACAATATCATGAATTATCAAAACCTAGCTTAGGGTCCGAGATAACTGCGGAAGCTAAAGATGAGGCAGATAACATAGACATGAGGAAAATCATGTTGATATCATGCGAAAACCGAATTCAATAATTGTTTTAACATACCATTTTTAAGCAATCTGCACTCCCCCTGGGTTTACAAAACTTTTAGACAAATACACGAATGAGGGGCTTGAAAACTACCAAACATGAACTTAATATCCGCTGCAGGCATTGAATTTGTCATGTCATTTCACATGCTAATAAATAATGATTGAATGCTCACGACCAATCAGATTTTTCATGGTAAGTCTACTATTTAATGAGCAGATTTCTTAGTAATACAATATTCGGTCCACAGTTGGCTCTTAGGTTATAAAGGGCTTGTATGTTACTCTCTTCCTTTATTCCACATGAACGATTATTATATCTGACTGTTCTCAAAACTAATAAATACAACGTTAGAATAATTTGTATTTCAATCCAAAGATCTTAGTAAGAGAAATTACTCCTCGTGCAATTCAGTCTCTTGTGGTCAAGGGAACTCATTTTCCCAAAGTTAATTGGGATAACACAGCAAATGCCCGTCAATTATTAAAGTAGGACAGTTGGTTTGACAAATGTAATGCCGGCAGAAGTCACTCAACGTGTCGACAAAATGGCGGAATGGTTAAGATTTCATTCTGATGTTTACTCAGCGCTAGATTAATTAAAGATCATGTCTCAACAATGACTATGCCATCTCTCGAGGAAAATTTTGAACGCCGGTAATTTTATCTAATTATGTGTGAGTAGTTTTAGGTAAGTTTGTGATTTAGTCTTTCAACATTGTATTACCTTGGAACATAATGTGCCCTTTGAAGTGCTATGAGCTCTTTACTTTATTCTTTTCCATTTTCACTTGTTTACAAAAAGGAAAAAAATTAAAGTGACTGAGGGCAAAAGTAGCCTTTTATTTGCGCGCTCAGAGGGCACTTTAAAACCATACGGTTTGAGATAATATGAAATGACTTATAAGAAGACAAAGTGATAAAAAAGGTAAAAAACAAACACATAAACACCATATTTAACGGGTGAGTCATCATTAAATGCCTGTTTTCGTGTTTCAGTACAAGTACAAGAACTACGAGAGTCGAGACGCAAACGTCATCAAAGCACTTACTCAATAAATGCTTCTGGCAATTTTCTCTTTCCTTCGTTTCAAGAAAAGTGAAAGAGTTTCACTTGAGTGTTAGACGTCTTTTGAAAAACTGCTTGTTGTGAATGAGACGTCAGCACATAAATGGATGAAACTCTGATGAACACATCATATTTTGTTCCTTATTTCAGGCATTTTTTTTAGTTGATAGCGCCTGTGTTTTGCGAAGAATTTTTATGGTTTATTTCTGAAGAACACTAGAGTTAGAGTGTTTTTTAATTAGCACTAAGGGTTTTGAAAAACGTAGGACATTGAAAAGAATTGTGATGTGTTGAGTTCTGTAATATTTTTTTAATGAAGCCCGCCTGACTTGGGAATACTGATGATAACAGCAACACATTAGTGTTTAAATATTTAATATTTAGGTTTTCTCGGGAAAATGTGGTCAAAAATCAGTAACTCCGCCTGGAGGGACGACGTCATAGTATATAAGTTACGCTATGGCTGTTTTCGGAGGCAGGTCATATTAATTGCAACTTAAAATCGAAAGCTTTCGTAAGACTGTGATGACATCCGTCAACTGCCTGCTCCCTGACGACGAGGCCGGTTTAGTTTTCAATTATTCATTTCCTCTTTTCCAGCATTACAAGCAACAGAAAGCAGAACTTTGTCTTTCCAGTGACCTGAGGAGCAAGCAGGTGCTGGTAAAGATAAGGCCAATGAACAAAAACCCCAAATCTACTTGAATTCATCAAACAATCGCTGGAAGAAGGAGATATATCTTTTCCGAGAACAGGACAAGATGTCTTCACAAGGAATAACTAACACCACAAAGGATCAACTGCTGCACGAGCAGCGAAAGCAGGAAGTTTTACCACAACTTCTTCCGATCAGCTTATTCATCATTCTGACAAATATTGTGGTATTCATTCTCTTCTGTTCCAAACCAGAATTACGAAAAGCTTCGAACTATCTGCTGTTTAGCTTGGCGATTTGCGATTTTATGAACGGTTCTTTAAACATTCCTCTTTTCATTGTGATCTTTATTCCAGTGGTGGACCAAAATCAATATGCTAGCTTTGTTTGTGCCATGGAAGTCTCACACAATTTCGTCGCCATTGCAGCCGCTTGTCACATTTTCCTGATAACCGCTGAGAAGTACATGGCTATCTTGCGTCCTCTCAAGTACCACGTGATCAAGAAGAAGACAGTGTTTTTGGCTATTACGGGAGCTTGGCTATCATCAGCGTTGTTAGCCGCCGCACCAATTGGCTGGTTTTCCTTGAGATTAGGTAAGAATCCCATCGGATTAGTCTTAGAGACCTCATTTAACATCTTCTGCCTGCTTACGATCTTCGCGGCTCTATACACTTTCATCATTTGTGCGTATGTTACCATATTTAGGAAAGTCCGCGATAGGAACGCCAATCAAAACAACCGACAGAGATTTAAAACACAAAAAAAGAGGAGGAACGAATACAAGTGCTTTACAGTTTTTGCTACCATGGCAATCGTTTTCGCCATGTGTTGGCTGCCGTGGTTTACCTTGCGCCTACTTTTCTCTTTAGTTGGTCAACGTTTGATTACGCTAAATTATGCTGATATGGAGGCGGCTGCACACGTCATCCTAATTGTGAGATACCTTACTTCGGTGGTAAACCCTTTACTTTACTCATTCTTCAAACAAGACTTTTGGGGAGCGCTGAGGAGATCAGTGTTGAAGGTGTTCAGGAATGTTAAGAGCACATCACGAAAACGATGACAAGAAAGCGATCGTCGACTTCAGCCGTGAGCAAGCAGTCAAAATTCCCGGAATCCCCCCCAATCCTAAATCCGAGGTGCTCTGTACCTAAACCCTGCACCACGTGGCCTGGGGCTCGTCCCTACCAAGAGGCACCTTCCGTTTCCGAGCAACACCTCGTACTTTATTTCACTCAAAGTACACAACCAATCCTCAAAGATAAACTGTCAACTCGAAACTCTTCGAAAAAAGAAAAAGGAAAAGTTCAGACCTACTCCTATCTTGCGGCTCATCGTTCACCAATAGGGATACTGAGGCTCCGTCCACTGCGGGGTAAAAGGTATTACGCGGAAGATTCTAATTATATCGAGTTCCAGCTATACCACACTCCCTTCATTTCGGGTACCACATTGTGCTTTCGACGGGCACCTGGGCTTGCCGGAGAGGAATTATATCAAGGCGTGGACCATGAAACCTTCCTTCTTTGGTTGGACTATTTACGAATAAATGTCGTGAAAGCAAAGAAAAAAAATTATATTAAAACTACCACTTACTTTAAACGAAAATATCATGCGAGGAGCCAGTGAGAAATCAAATAAATGACCGAGAAAACTGAGGCTAGGTTTAAATGTTGCATTTATTTTGTTAGAGGGACTGACAGTGACATGAGGTAAACAAATGCAAACACGTACTACTTCCGAAACTCGTTTCAATGTCTCCATCCTGAACTATTAGTTGATGGTGTCCGAGCGGTTTGAGATGACTAGACTCCTAATCTGTAACCTATAAGCCTGATACATCATTTTGAACATCATTCAGTACCCAAATTAATCTTTCAGTCAGCTGTCAAAATAAATCAATTTTTGAGTGTCGCATAGTTTTCACTTGTGGAGGGAGCTTTTTATTCTGAATGTTTGTAATATGATGATTATCGATGAGATGTAGACGAAGGCACTTTAACTTCAAAATCTTTGACTTTCAAAGTTTTGCTTTGTGCCCCTCTGCGAGAAATTGAAGCACTAAGTCAGTACAGTCTTTGGCACAACCCCAGTGTACTGTGAGTCCTCCACCACCGTGACCATAATTATGGACAACCTACAAACAGCAAAAAACCAATAAACCACAAAGAAAAACTTAATTTATAACTGGCTATCACAAACTAGCTTGCACTGCAGACGTAGTTGGACATTTTTCAGTAGAGCAGACCTAAGCATAAGATGAACAAGAAGTGCGACTAACACTCGAGAGGAGGAGCACTGTTCCGGCGTTCATACATGAAGGTGGCTATCCGGTTAGTCACGTTGTACATTATTGCTGCGTTACACTAATATGCCGCAATGATATAAAGCAACGAATCACCACGTATGCCTGCACTACCTCATGCACGAGAAAGTTTCTAAGTAACTCTAAAGAAATCGAACTGAATGGCCCTTTTTGTCAGGTTGGTTTCCTTCTCATTCATGTTTCTCACAGCCGTGGTTGTTCAAAGTTCTCCAACAAATTATTTATTGCAATCTGTGAATTGTCTTCTATTAGACTGCGAGCATTACATCCTAACATCGTGTAACTGATAAGTTCATGAGGTGCTTTAGAAGTTTCATGACGTTCTATGCTCTTCGATGCACAGTCACAGTGATAATTACGTAATTGTCCTGTATTCTCGGATGGAATACGATTTTTTCAGTTACAAAGAATGTATAATTCAGTTATCAGAATGCTGTGTGAAATGGGAAGTTGACTTGCTTCACAATTAGAGATTGACTTCAAGTGTGAACAGGAAAGTCGTGATTCGGAGTTACTTTTTACCTTTCTCGTGTATGAGGTAGTTTCCTGCACATGATACAATTTATTGCTCATGCACGAAGCAATCACATATGAACAAAACTTTTTGTATGTGGGCTTTTAGGGCGCTCATCCATGCGTGATTGTTAAGCGCATGTTGGTGTGTCAGAGATACACAAGGACAAAACCGTAATGTGTTTGGCAGAAATGTTTAAAGAGCAGAAAGGATTGCAATATACCTAGCCATAACCCGCAAGCATATCATGTCATAACTTCGAAACAAAATACCATCCATAGTAACGGTCAAAGTTATACAATACATAGCAAAAAGAACGAGTTTGTGTGGACACCCAGTGGAAACTGAACATAATAGAATGATGAAATTGTTACTGTTACCACACTATTGAAACATACTAATAATAAGTTCCAAGCTTACTTTCAGGGTTTTTTTATTTCCAAGATTGCTGTTAAATTTCATAACTTCCTTTTCAAGCCTGACAGTGGGTCGACCAGGTCGTAGTCCAACCCACGCCTCCAACACTGGAGCTCGCTAAAAGAGAAAAAAAAGTCAAACTTTTAACACGGGTTAAATTACTCCGATGGATAACCCTTTTGCAGTCAAATCTTTCCCAGCGTTCGCATGAAGAACGTTGTCAAGCCGGCCGGCCCTCCTTGTTAGGTAACCCTGACTGAGAGCTGAATTGATCCGGCTGAAAAAAGGTTGAAATTTCCCCATTTTTTTAATGTACACACCAACGCGGATTGGCATTTTCACCCAGTCAGTCATATGGTCCTCAAGCTCCTGACACTTGCTAAATTGATGATCTTATCGGAGGGCAGGAGGTTCGTCAAATATTAACTTAGTATACAACGACCTCGCGAACTATCGAATTCTCTGATGCTCATCGACAGAACTTCAAACTACCAAATCCCAATTCCTGAGGGTCAAGTCCTCAATGGAGAATAAATTTTGTCTTTGTCCTACCCTAATAAAAACAAAATCTCTCTCAATTCGATGACCGAGCTCAAAATTTATCGTATTCGACCTTGTTAAAAAGAACTAAAATAAAGGTCGGATTGTTTGTTTCATCGGTCACTCTTCTGGTGACATAAGCCCTCACAATTGTAGAGCCACCAAGTCTTCCCGATGAAGTACAACGTATAGGCCCAAGGTTTCACAGGGTTTTTCTTCTGTGCCATGGGCTTAAATTTTCATTAAGATAACAAAGATAAAAACATTTTTGTCTTGAGAAGGAGTTCGGAGTCGTCACCGCAAGTATCCATTTCCACTTGCGGAAGGACATTAAAATTTAATTGCCGAATCGCACGCTAAACCAAATAACAAAGAATTCCTTTTCGAAAGTGTCAATAACTTGCTCAATAATATCAAATAATTGATCTCTGCTTCAACACTTCTCTATTCCATACACTCCACAGACTAAGATATTTTCAAGTTCTTCTTCTGCATTTGGAAATTTGACAAAAAACTTCCTTTAGATTTGACATATGGCAAAAGAGTCTCAGTATTAAATGATTAACTCACAGCGAGACTAGGTACTAGTTCTCTTGTCACTTCCAGAATGTGTCGCGTATCATCGGCACTTATTCTTGTGTCTGAGTTATGATGATACCCAGTCCCTCCAAGAACAACTTCACCATTTGCTCTGGGGAGAGAATGGCAAAGGTAGGTTTCAAAATCAATAGCTGCTTAAATCTCTCTAATTTTCTTCATATGTCCGATACACACCAATGGATTCTGATATAAAACGTGGTTTTGCGATGGAATAGGCAAAATTATATTCGTGACACCTTCCAACGGAAGGTGTGTTACCGGAAGTCAGATAAACATCAGGGAGGGCAGAAATGTTGTCCGATGGAAGCCGATGGAGTCTAACGGAATCCAAAAGAGCCCATCGGAATAACCAGAAGCCTAGTGGTAAACCTAAACTCAGACAATTGCAGGATATGTGGAGTATGCCTCGTCATTACAGTAATGAAGCGCAACAGCTCATTTCAAGCGCGGATGACTTAAAATATACCTCGCTTCTCAAGCCTTTAAGCGAAAGAGCGCTCAACACAGACGAATACAGTATATGCAAAGTATGCCTCGTTCTTAAAGCCATGAAGTGAAACAACTCATTTCAAGCACAGATGACTTGAAATATAACTTGTTTCTCAAGCGTTTGAGTGAAACAGCCGTGTCCATCGGAATGACTAGAAATCTAGTGGAAATCCTAAACTCAGACAAGCGCAGTACATGTGAAATATGCCTCGTTCTTACAGCAATGAAGAGCAACAACTCATGGTAAGCGCGGATGACTTGAAATACACCTAGTTTCTCAAGCCTTTGAGCGAAACAGCGCTCAACACAGACAAATGTAGCATACGTGAAATATGCCTCGCTTTAAAGCCACGAAGCAAAACAACGTATTTCCAGGGCGGATCACGTGAAATATATCGTGTTCTTCAATCGATTAAGCGAAACAGCGCTTTGCACAGACATGTGCAGTATGCGTGAAATATGTCTTTTTCTCAAAGGCATGAAACGAGGTTGTGAGATGTTGAATTCGGTGGAAGTGAAACCCATTTTATTTTTTTCCTTTTCGAGGGGAACTAAGCCGGCAAAAACAAAAATCAAATGGCACAATGGTAGTCACCAGAGATCACCCTCTTAAAGAATGTCGGCATTTTTTTGCATTCCTATTATTTTATTACAATCGATATGTCGAGCAGATCGAGAATTGGAAATTTGCCATCGAGTTACTCCTCCGAGGCTGCCAAATGGAAGGTATTGCATAAAAAACCCAAAAACCAAAACGGAAAAAAAAGGATTTCAAATGTTTGTCTTCTACAGTGGTCGATTTCACAAAGAATGCATCTTTAAGGGATGTGAAATCTGACATAATTGGTATTTTACAAAACGATGAAAGTCTATTTTTGATCATTTTTCCTGAAAGCGCGGTATAAGTATTTGTAGGGCTGCTCTGATTAATATAGCCAATTCGAAGATGGTATAATTTTAACGGGTTTAATGACGTTGTTTGAGTTCATTCTACAATTATAGCTAAATAATCCTACATTCGGGATAACTGGTACTTTACTCCACATTTCCACGTCTAAGTCAACATTTGGTAGACGATCATTAGGTCAGTTGCCGTATAACGTTTCATATGGCAACTATATTCTGATATGTGTATTGTAGATGTAGAAGATTTAATGATAAAAAGCCAAGTTATGTAGCCGTTTTGAGTAAGAACCTTGCAGCTTATTCAACCGTGTTTCTAAATTTGCCGGTTTTTTTAGTTTTATAATCTACAAAAAAGGTAACTCTCTGCTGGCATGTAGAGTGCTATGTAGCTCCCGCCAATCAGATCGCCGCATTAGGGTATGTTTCTCGCACCAATCAGATTACCGCATCAGGGTATGTATCTCGCATCAACCACATCACAGCATTTGGATATCATGCACCAAATTCTTCTCACGGTGTTTCCGGCCGGTATTGAACTCTCGACCTCCCGCACAGCAGTCCGGCGCTCTCCCAATTGAGCTAACCAGGCGGCGGCATCAACCACATCACAGCATTTGGATATCATGCACCAATCACGGTGTTTGGGTATTGTATTCTCGTAACTTATGTCATGGAATCAGAGGGCTGGGCTCATTTGATAAGTATTATGATTGTGGCCTTTGCAAGAGCCTCGTCGAGTGAAGTCAAGATTTATCGGGATAAGAAAGGTTGGCATTTATTGTTATTGTGTCATTTTTAAGTTAAAACGTGTTTTTCAACTCCTTTTCTCACAACGAACACGCCAAACAACTTCCATTCCATCAAGTAATATGAAAACAACGTTCAAACTTCAATCAGAACATACCCAATCATTGCACTACATGAACATTACGCAATTTTTCACGCGCTTGAATTGTATTCAACCAATCAAATCCTATCTTGCCACGTTAGACTTCGCTCCATCACATGCCATTTCCTTGTAAACAACCTGCATTTTATCACGTATTCTAGTCGCATTATCCAATACCACTGAAAAAAAATTGACATGAAACTTTATGCTACTGATAGTAGCGTTTTAACTTTTTCTGCGAATAAAATTCAATATCAGCTACCTTGGAATTAACCCAATCGCGCGTTAATTCTTTGTTAACAACCTGCAGTTTATCACTTATTTCACACACAAAGGGCAAAGTCCAGAGAGGCAACAAACAATCAAGGAGCCCTCTCTGAATAGGATCCTTTTCTCTTGCTCAGTGCATCTTCCCTTATACGAGATCGCAATGTCTTTGGTTAGGGTCTATTGAAGATACAACAGTTTCAGTTTGCTTTTCGCAGTAAAATTACATGGAATTATAATTTTGAGGCGACTAACTATGGACAAATAATTTTGATTTTCTTTCTCGTTGGAGGAACGGCTGTAAGCGTAGTCCGAGTTTCGCAACCGTTATTTGGTCTCGTCACGCAACGGCTCTCTTTCCAAAGGGGAATAGACGAGACCAAACAACGGCTGCGAAGGAGAATACAGTTGGCGTACCACCGATGCATTTTAATTTTTGCTCATATGTAACTTATTTTTTTCTCAGAAGTATTTAGACAATAGACCACAACACCATACCTATGCGAGTTTAGATAAATTACGTTTTTCTCTTTCTCTTGAAGTGAATGCGATATTTTCGTTCTTTTGAAAGTTATGAAAACGTTACGAACACAAAGTGTCCCATCTCGACCTACCCAGCTAAGAAAATATCTCTTGCATGCAAGCATGCCTATATTTTGGTTTGTTCATCACTTATGCATGTGTTGTAGTCGTTGGTGATGTGATTTACGTTTTCTCTGAGGAGACCGATTCGGTAAAGGTTGCTTCAGAGCTATAAGTGTTTCTTATCACGCAATCTTTGTTTTCCTGAAATCAATTGTTTATGTGTGAAAAGAAATTTCTTTTCATTTTTGTTACTCTTTTCATCTGTTAAAAGGCGGATTCAAGGTAGGCGGAAAATAAGAGTAGGCAACTATAATTACGCATGCAATCTACGAGAATAACTGTGCAGGGTTTATCATCTATTTCATCCACCAAAATTTGTGCAAAACACAGATTTACAAGTGAGAATTAATTACACTACATCACTCGCAAAGGAAAAATAAAACACTTTCAACAAAAGGTGATTACCTCTCGTGCTTGAAATTATACCAAAAAAAACGGGGGGTGGGAGGTGGTAAGCACAAGAACTATTGAATTACGGTGTAAATTTCATCCTTTCAAAAAACAGATAGGTACAGAGTTATTAGTTCCCTTCTAACTCTGGTTTAAATGAAAATTCCAAAATGTCTAGTACAGATTCCGCTACTGAAGACAACGTTTTCATTAAACTAAACTACTGTCAATTTAAAACAGGCGTCTCGTGAAAGTAGATGTTACGAACAACATGAATAGAGGGGGAGTCTGTTTCATTTGTAAAATTTTTTTTCATTCCGAGACTACTTGATTCACGCGCGGTCTTTTCGTTTTCCAGAAGTCAAGCACATTTGTTTGTTAAATGCAGAAATACGACAACAGCGACACTTTTAAGTTAGAGCAAAACCAAAACCCGAAGAGATCGTTTGCAATTGCAAGAAGAGAAATGCAAGCCATTAATATTTTGCTAGCGTGGTCATGTGTTATTTTTCAGCGAAAAAATATAAAAAAAGAATGTTTGTATGTTACCAAATTGTTGTTTTCATATTGGAATTAAGAGTGAATCCTGGAAGTTTTTAAACGGTATTCTAAACTTTGATTCAGAATGCACTAACTCTTTTACACTGTAGCCTAAAAAAGCTAAGAAATGTTTCAAGAAAGTTAATTGTAAACACCCCATATTGAGTAGTGAATATGCCTTATTGACCAAGCGTGTTTGGTCAAAATGGCTGGATACTGGCCGAATTCGCCTTTGCATTTTTATGTCGAGTTCCAAAAAAATGCGAAAAAAAAAAAGAGGAGGCTACTCTCCAGCCATTTTGACCGAATAGGCTTGGTCAAGGAAGGATTTCTCATCAAGAAACCAGAGCCGGGAAAGAAAGCAAACCTTGTTTAGCACAATAAAACCACGAGGCGTTTATACTTTCTTTATTTTGACTGTCTTCTGCCGCTTTTTGAGTCTCAATTGCTGACGCTGTCCAAAAATTACTAAGTAAGTACCAAGTCAATTTTTCTCGTACGCGGGACCACAGCGGGCAATCACGAGCGTGTAAGATGAGCCCATCTTGCCTGCTCGGGAAGCCAATCAAAACACAGGATTCAATTCATATTACCTACGGGTGCTGCCAGCGATATAATAACATGCAATCTTGTCATGGCAAGAATTTAGGGGTTAGACAGTTAGTAAAGAGGACAAATGATGAGGGAAAGGAGAAGGTTTGGACCCCCTGAATTACCCCTGTATCCGCAATTGATTGATATCCTTTGGCTTCTAAAGAAGCCTTCTTTGCTGGACGTTGCAGGTTTTCTTAATTGGTGAAAACTCTTGGACCTAGTGTGGATAGACTTTTCATGACCATAAAATTTCGTAATGGAATCATTGTTGCTGAGAAGGTGAGTTAGACATTGATTTATCACGTACAGGCCTGAATTCTTTTTCAGGCCTTAGAACTTCGTTGAGTTCATAGCTGCAAAGATCCGACCATTTTACATAAAATTGTAAGTGAATATACATCACATACACAACACATAGAAGAATTAACATACATTTTCCGATGCAATCTATTTGTGTGTATTGGGCAACCCTCATTTTCTTCTCCTCGCTTTATATTCAATATTCAATTATAAGGAATGCAAATACGATGATGACAAATGAATGAGTAGATTAAAAAACGAAGTTCCATCTAAAAAAGCTCCTAATGAGTCAAGGCCTAAAAACATTCTACTCCGCCTTACTGTGGAAGAATATAACAGTATCTCTCCTGTTTATGAAGGTGCTTGGTATCCTGTGCATAAGCCTCTTTTATCCATGGTGCATACACCTAGAATTGGCGGACAAGGGATATTTTTTCACACATTATTCAGATACAGTACCACGAAGGAACGTATTATCAGCTGTTTCTGCAGTCTTCTCTTCATGCGGATAAAAATGTATCACTGAAGGTTGTCGTGAGCGTTCATTAGATGTGGCATTTAATGACAGTTCATTAGATGTGATTGGGCTCCCTGATTAAGAGCATGACTATGTGAGAAATCAAGGAGCAAGAAAGCTCTATTCATACAGAATTTCTTCGCTATCACAGCTATTAGTACTTGGAATTTCCGAAAGGAGCGCTATCAACGCTTTTGGAATTTAACTAGGATTTTCAAACACAATCTGAGGTTTGCCATGAGACAATGACTTACTCTCAATACTTGACCTCTCACAGGATCCATGGAAAAGTCATTCACCAATTCTTTTGCTCTCATCCCAGAGCAATTCACAACAACATCATAGACACCTGCAAGCTATAATATCGTATTTATTTTTAACGTGCAGTTGATCCAAAAAGGTCCACACATTAACCAAACATCAACAATGGTGTAAAACTGGCATTTTCAGCTGATGGAAAAACATATGCATGGATATAATTTAGCAGAGTTAACCAACCATACTTATTGCCACATTGTATAGATGTCTCACCTCTTTCAGTGAATCTAGCGTTTTCTTGATAATGTCACCACCCAGATGCTTGAACCTGGACGAATACATAATAATGCAGTCATGATTTTTGTTTTATAAAAATTTATAAACTACCACTGACATCTTCCCTGTACTCAGAGGACATTCCATTCACATCTTCACAACTGAAGGTTGGTAACCGGTGTAATCAACATGGCAAAACAAAAAGGGTTTTATTACATTAACGAACGTTACTCAGGTTGAATTCAACTTTTTCTGAGGAGGAAAACATTTCTCGTAATGGATCTTTTTAAAACTGTTAAAGTTTGTGATATTACTATCCGGCCTCGTGCACCCGCTCAGTTTAATGAAGATATCCCAATAGCTAAGCAAGTAAGACGAAGGGCTGAAAAGAGAATGAGATGTCAGTACGAGATTGTGCGAAGATCTAGTGCGGTATGAAAGAGAAAGAGATCACTTTGTGCATTTGATGAACAAGACACATCCATTCTATCACAACCAGTTCATTGACGATAAAGGGGCTGATAAGAAGGCTGTTCGTAGCAACCAAGAGTTTGCTAAATAAGCAACTGGATACAACTCTTCTGTCAGACTCTGATTTTAAAATGCTTGCAAATGATGTGTTGTGAGGCAACGATTATCAATATCAGACAGAATTGCGTCACTCCATCCTCTATCAATGCCTGATTCTGTATGGCAGGTGCATAACGTTTGCGAAACTGTATTCTGTGACTTTCAAAGTCAGGCGGTTGAATCAATTTGTGAAAAAGAAATCATGTATTCTTGGTCTTATACTGTCATCTTTGTAATTTGCATGTGCCAAATTCACTACTTCCGGTAATGGTTAAAAGGTCAACCTTTTCTTACAAACTGTATACTTATATTCACCGGAGGCGATTGTTAACTCTTGCTGCTGTGTTACGATTACTGTAGAACGGCAAGAATGCATTTCCGAACTGAAAATATTGATAAACTTTCTGCTGGTCGAATTCAAAAGGATTTGAGTCAGCACTTGATAGGAAGATTTCGATTCGAAAATTAGAACACTACACAACCTGCGCGAAATGTTTGGGTTGCAGTATTACGAAAACCTAAGATTTGATCGACTTTGCAACAGCAAAATAACAAAATTTTTAAATGTCTTTTAGCTCATGGAAGCCTTTGATCAAATTACGGTTAACTTTGGCCGATACTCAGTGAACTCAGTAACCTGCTTCACCAAGATGCCAAAGCTTAGATTCCAGACAATTAAAGCTGATTAATTTACTTTACATGGTCTCACAGGGAATGAGTACTGATGATAAGAAAGTTGCTCACCTTACTACCCCCTGTTAGCTTGAAAATAACAGATACTTTATATAGTGTAGTTGTTAGCATTAGGATGCAAATTGTGTTTTTTTGATCACTTATTGCCACACTTTTTTCAAAAATTTGGTCAATCTCTGTTAACCTGTCATCTGGGCATTTCCCACATGATGGCATGGTTGCCAAAAGTCAAGGAAAAACTTTTGAGTCACGGAAAGTTTGCACTGATCTTTGATCAAGTCAGGGAAAAGTACAATCACAATTAAATCTTGTCCAGAGCCTCTTCTTGATGAACGATGTGTCACTTTTTACAGTTGATATTGTTTCCTGTCGTAAAGCAAGTTCGACTTGGTTTGTGAATGAAATTTTGTCCAATCATTACGTTTATTTCAAATTTCAATATCTATGGTACATTTCCATGCATGAAACGTGTTGGTTTGGTAGAATATTGTAAAATCAAATTGAAATGCATACTGATGTTGGGTTTTCAAGACAATAAATTATTTTTATATCTTACATCAAGGAAACACCAATTGACGTACCCTTCATGTGACTTGCTTAGAGCATGGATAAGGAAGATGGCTATGTAGGGAGGTTGGACACCATTATCAGGGTTCATATGTGCAAATATTAATTTAGTTGATCAGGGATATTCTACATTTTTCAGAGAAAAGTCAAGGAATATCAGAAAGCCACGGCTGTGGCAACTATGCAAGGGTGAATGCCTAATATAGGTTAAACTTTGCCTGATTTAGAAAGAGGGCTATGCAGTTTCATTCTATTTAAAACTTTTGATAAACTGAGGAGATACTACAAACATATGGTGAAAAAAAGAATGTTACCTTTCTAGAAGCCATGGATTATAATACTTTCCATTCAGGAACATGACTCTACAGGAGAAACCAAATCTGTTGATTAAAAGAAAAAAAAAGTGAGTAACCATAAGAACTAACTACATTCACCCTTTCATAGAATTAACAAATGAAATTAAGATGAGTGATAAACATTTCAGTGTTTAAACATGATTGGGGACATTAGGCGGTTACGATGAAAATCCTAAGCTCTTATTCTGCCCATTAGATCTTTTGTTTTGCCATGTCCTGGTTGCCATTGCCATCCTGGTTTGCTGGAGGTCCCATCTCTCTCACAGTCACTCTGCACACAGTTTACAATTAAGTCATTCATCTGATGAAAAATGATCACTATAACATTACAAAAAAAAAATTCCTACTGACTTGGATGACTGAGGAAACTTCTGAAGTTCTTTCTGAGTGAGAACATGATAACCATCAACAAGATCTTTCCAGTGGGGTTCCTGTTGGTTGGAAGGGTAAGCCAAATTTCCCATTTAGTGCAAAATTTTCACAATGCATTCAGTTAATAAAGCCACATTTCCCATAGAAAAGACTTGGAAAACCCAACATGATCACAACCAGTAATATTAGTCATCAGAATTATAGGCATTCAATCACTTGAAGAATCTTTTGGAAAGAGCCAATCTAAAATTTTATAAAGTTTGCAACTACAGATCTCAAAGCCAAGCATAGTATTAAATGGTTTTAACCTTGAAAGAACTTAACTAATTGAGTCTCTCTGGTCTCTCCAGTCACTGCACAAAGCAATCAGCAAACTTTCCTGAAAGTGTGCCAGTAATTTGTTTGAAGATTTTTGTTACGATCACTCTATTTCAATTCATCCTCAGATAAGCTATATAACAGTTTATCTAACCATTTTACATTACTGAACATTCAAAAAACAGTTGCTAGATCCAATCATTTTAAAACTTTGCCTTTTTTAACTTTTTTTTAAAATTTTATCCCTGTACTTTCAAGTGTTAGCATTAAATATCTTTTTTCACAGGTAAAATCAGAGTGACTGTTGATAATGGCCAATGCATTCCATCCCAAATTGATGCCTCCAGGCATCTTGCTATTTACCTTAAAACACATTGTACCACCCTAAATTTAACAACAGACCCAGCAAAACTAAATGGACTACAAAAAAATTTTCCTAATAAGAGTGGATACTGGCGATTCTCAGCTCACAAGGCAAAAGTCACAGTGCCAAGTTAATTCTGTAGCAATCACCAAGGGTGAGCCGAAGTATTTAAAAGTCCTAAAACAGTTTATTTTTTTAAGGTAACATATACATGTACTGAGCACCACAAGACTTAAAACAGCTTAAAGGAAGGCATGTAGGTTGTTTCAATTATCCTTAAAGTGCAACATGAATGGACATCCAAAGCAACATGTAAACTTTAAAGACTGAGAGTTGCAACTTGAGGTTCACTCACTATGTGCAGACTGCAAACTCATTGTATGCAGACTGGCCTAGAGTTACTTTTGTTATTTAATGATACACATGAGTGTGTATCATTAAATAAAAAGTAATCCTTAAGATATTTATTGATATATGTAGTTTGTAGGTATTGCATAACTAGTATATATGTGTAAATGTAAATCCAACTAAATTAAAAAATATACCTCTGCATTTTCATCATCAGAAAGGGAAACAAGGGTCAATTTATAAAGTCCCAAACTTTGGCCTGCATCCTTCCTCTTCATTAGCTCTTCTAACCCTTTCATAGTTTCATCAAACCACTTTCTGGATGTCAGAAAAAAAGGAAATTCATCTAGTGATACATCTCAAAAGTTAACTCTCTCCCTTTAAGAGGGTTGAAACCCATGTTCATTTTGTAGGCCTTTGCTAATGGTTTGACTTCTGATTAATTGATCTCATCATGTCCCAATAAAGGGAAGAGTTCCTGGGTGCAAATAACCCCTCTTTAACAAGAAAATATGATAACTAATGACTGTAAGAACAATTATTAAAATTCTGACTTTTAATGAAAGTCAGTAATTTAAATATGTAAGAACCTACATTGCAAACCTCTGTTTATGCCTCTTTTTGGAA